TCATCTGCCACATGCCAATCTCCTCTGATTTTATTCCAGCACTCATTAACCTCTTCCACCTCTSCACATGTATCAGCAAGCCTCGGGCTCTCACTGAAAGATCCTGTGGAGCAATAAAATGTTTTCTTCTGATTGTCATCCCATACTGTGGTGTCCAGACTTGCTGTGCTCAGAAAACCATGGTAAGAGTCGATGATACGTCAGTCTGTCCTCTCACATTATATAATAACTAATATAAGAGAGCTCTGAACTTTTGCATGGAAGCAGCGTATACCTTAATCCCACTATTTCTTCAGTTGTCACAACCATTCAGTACAAAGTAGATAGGAAGTTCCACAAGTGTGGAAACCATTCTTGTGGTTTACTGTGCTCCAGCACTGGGGTAGATCGTTCTTTCAGGTGAATAATGTATCCTGATCTCTGCTGTCCCGCCTTGAGGCTGTGAGCAGACTGCTGAGAGCTGCTCCCATGGAACAGCCTTTGGTCACCTTGTTCTGCAGCCAAAATCACACCTGTGACAATAAACAGCATCAGTATCAACACAAACACTTAATGCATGCCACAACTAGACAATGTTTGGGTGCTTTGCAATGCACCCGTTTGTTTTCCTGTTTAAACAAATAAAATCAGCACAAATTGCCTGGTTGCCCACCCATGMACTGAAACCTGCCCAACACCACACTGTCAGTGCCTAAACAGGCAAATACAGCAAGGAGAAGATGTGGCTGAGCACTGGTCAGAACTGCACGGGCTATTTCTCTGCATACTGCAGAGCTCCTAGGATGGATGTCTGCTATAGACCTTTTGTTGTGGAATTAATAAAATCATTGTGGTTGTGTAAAAGTTATGGCCCTCCAAGGTGGCTCTCCAATAAAGAGAAAACCAAAATACTCTGCTCTGCTTTCTCTCACTTGTTTATTTATTCATGCCTGACTAGTGCTTGGACTTTTTTGCTCTGAGTAAATGTGTTTATARCATACTTTTCATTCAGTAATTAATTTTCATTAAATATTCACAGCCAAATATGTGTCTGGCAGACTTTAGTGAGATGATTACACATAAAAATTTAAAAATTGAAACCTGCCTCTTGTGATGGGGAATGATTTTTTTTTAAGTATTGCAAGCAAAGCTCACAGTCTGATCTGAGGGTGGAAAAGTTGCAGATCACCAATCCTAGAGTCAAATTAGAACACTAATGTTAAGATTACTATCYAGTGGCACATCCACCAGGCCAAGTGAATGGGACATGTCCCTGCAAAACAGTATTCAAACTTCTCCTTCCCCACAGAGTGCTTTTCCTGGTATATCCAAGCCAGCATGCGTCATACACCTCCATCCAAGCTTTCCTCTTTTAGCCTGGAGTTTCCTACAGCTTCCTTTCAAGCTTTTCTTTGTTCCCTAATACCAGTTTCATCTTTCCAGAGGGACACTGTGACCTTTTTGACTCATGGACAGAGTTAATACAGCACCAAATGTAAATCCAGACTACTCCCAGCTGTAGGCTGGCTCCTCACATCTGATGGCAGGTGAGAAGTTCCTGAAAGACGTTCTGTACCACATAAAATATTTCCTGATGAGAGAGGCTTTTTTTATTAAAGAGAAGCATCAAGGCAATACAAACACCTTTCTGAAAACCATTTACCTCAGGTTATTTTGGCAACGTTTTGAGGCAATGAACCTGAAGAAAAGGAATCAAGAATTCACAAAGCAATTTGTTGCTGAAATCTACAGAAAAAAAAAAAAAATCCCTCTAATAGACAAGGGAAGTAAGCTGCAGGGAGAACACCATTCCCACTCCATATACCACACCCCTACAGACACATTTCTCTTTTGGAGTTCTGCAGTAAATACTCYGGTATTGTTTTTGTTATTTAGGCTGCCCACCTGCTCTCTCTCTGGCAGGCCCTTGCACATGGCCCTTGTTGCTTCCCCACCATTATCCTGTTACGAAGTATGAAAGTGCAGTTTGTCTTAGTGGTGGAAACACAGCCAGACTGCTCAGTAAAGAAACAAGAACTTTAAAACATTTAAAAGGATTTATGGACTCACGTTGCTGAACTCTGTCTCCCAAGGATGTGTGTACTGAGCTYGCCAGTCATCGAAGCTCTCCTCAGTGCACTCTACTACATTCTCCCGTCGTAGGGAGGGGTGGAGGGATGCTTTCCATCTACTGTAAGAATCATCTGTCTTGGGATTTCTGTGAATTTTAGAGATGAGAGTACAAAGCACAGTAATACAAAATGCGAACATTTCTGTCTTCTTGAGAGCATGGTTAACCTTCATACTTATATTGTGAAACAAAACTAGTTACACCCACAGAAAAAATGCAGCCATGYACAGGGCTTGGACAACATCTTCAGCATGCACCTGAGCTGAAGATTCTCCTGGCAAAGCCCAGTTTCTCTGCTGGTTACTGTTGAATCAGCTGATATTGTAGGCCCAGTGTGAATATCAGAGGGGCTGAGGTCAGCTCTATGCATCTGCCCAAGTTCATCCATTCCTATTCACCTCAGAACTCCCAGCACAAGTCATCCTCTGCTGATACTCCTTACCAATCCTGCAGCCATGCTAAAACTCCTCTCTTTGCAGCAGCACTTGTATTCAAGTTCCCACAGAACTCAAGTTTCAGGGAGAAGGGAATGGTCCTGCAGGACTTTGTTTTTCATTGTATGGTTTATTTTAAATAAAACAAACTCAAAAACATGCTGTGCTTTGCAGTGGAATAAGCCTTATCCAGCCTTTTAAAGAAATGGCAGCAAATGCTGTCAAAGCCTCCTTTCATAATATTTACAGAGTAGTTGATCCAGACAGTAAAGGGAAAACTATGTATCAGAAATCAGGAGAGAGAGTCTTTCTTGCACAGTTCTTGAGTGAAAAAACATTGACAGAGTCCTGAAGCTGAGGAAGCTCCTGACTCATTATCTGTCATATCCATAGGGCAAACAGGGGCTCTAACAACTCTTCTTCCAATGGTGCCCCATGTTATGTTTGGTCAGGCAATTGAGTCTGAAGTTCACAGGTAAGTAGGGTGCCCTCATGGCAAATGGGGTAACGTCTGCTTTATCTTCCATCACCAAAATACAAGCTCAGTGTTTAGCATGTGGAAATATACTGTTGCTTCATGCTCATTTTGTTCAAATAAGTCCATTAATTTTTTTAGGGTGCAGTCATTCTCAAGACAGGCATGACCTCAGTCTCTCATTATTTAATGACTTTCCCTTTGTGGGACAATGTACAGCTCTTCCMTGTTGCTCATCACTTTTGGAAAAGGACCAACTTCATGGGTTCCTTGGCTGAATGAGGAGAGGGGAAAGGAAGAAAAAGCCTCCTTCATTGCTTTTTAGGGACTGAAATCTGGTCTTGCTTTCTTCAGGCTTGGGAAACTCCAGATAATTTCTGACAGCACAAATCATGAAACCTGARTTACATATGCCTGTGAATGTGAACAGTGGCACAGGAAATTGTTTAACYCTCAAGAAGGTAAAAGCATAATTTCTTAAGACTGTAAGGTGTTACCATTTTCAAAGCAGCTGCAGAGCATGAGAAGGGTTTCAAGTGAAATGGGACAGATTGAAGCAACATCTCATCTTTTCCCATTGCTATTTATTGCCAGTGAAATGTTCCTACACATCTGTAATGGCACACATCTCTCTTGGGGACAGGAAGCTTTAGTGTATATTTCCAATGAAACAGTTTCTAAAAACCAATGTGAATGCCTCATTTTGACCTCAGCATGTAAAGCACATTTCCCTGCAGACTCGGAGGCTGAGCGAAGCTGTTGGGTGAGTCTCACAGTAAGACTGGCAGATGAAATTTGCCTGTTTCAGCAGCTCGGGGCAAACGATGAGGTCAGCAGGCTGCTGCCTACAGCAGAAGGAAGAGCCCGGCCCTGCTGCTGGCTCTGCCCGCATGTGAGACCGAGGAAAGCCTGAGMAGCTGCTGCTGGCCATGGGAGGCCTGGGAGGGCGTGAGCAGGGTTGGGGCTGGTCAGGCTCAGCAGGAGCAGCAGGCGCTGCTCCCAAACCTCCCACCCAAACTCTTCTCCACCCAAACCACGCTCTCCCCCTCCTTCCCGCTGGTGGGAGCAGCCTGCCCTGGCCCAGCCTCGATGCTTTGTTCAGTGTCGCCTCAGCCCAAAAATCCAACTCACGAAAGAGCAGGAGTGAGGAGGATAGAGGGACGTCCCTGTGGTCCTGACCTCGGTGGGACAGCCCCAGATGAGCAGGCCACTCAGTCAAGGTGTTTGAGTGGGATTTTAGCAGCCGGGTGATGATGATGATGAATGCCCATTCCTGTTCTGTGTCCAGTGAACAGCTCCCCTCACGAATGAAGGCTTGGTGTACCCCCCTCGCTGCTGTAGCCGTCAGCACCCTTCCCATGAGTGGGGCGAATGCGCCTCGTCGGGCCACACAAGGGAACACTGCCCGCGTCCCCGCACCGCTGTCAGGCAGGATCCCAGGGCTGCCACAAGGAACGAGCCAGCCTCAGCCCCCCGCACACACCGGGAGCTCACCACGGCCGCCCGGCCCCACCTGAAGAACCCAAAGCAYCCTTCCCTTCCCTCTGCCCCAGGAGCCCGAGTCCCGGGAGCGGAGGGGCAATTCCCCAGCGGCCCTGCCCTCTCCTCCCATCAGCTCTCCAGTGGGAAAAACTGGTTCGGGGGCTGTCGCCGGCCAGCTCAGGCAGGGGCCGGGGAGCGGGGGCTGCCCCGAGGGGACCCGCGGATGGCGGCCGGGCCCCTCATGGGGCCGGGGGCTGCCGCACCGCCCCTGCCCGGAGTGGGGCTGGAGCGGGGCGGGGGACAGGGGCCGGGGCCGGCCGGGCGGGCGGAGGGGAGCGGCTCTTTGGCCGGAGGGGGGTGCGGAGCCGCCGTGGAGGGCGGAAACGGGGTGGGGGGATTTGCGTCAGTGAGGGAGCTGGGAGCGGGCGAGGGCGGGCGGGACGGACGGAGGGACAGACGGACGGAGGGAGCCCGCCGAGAGGCACCGCTCGCTGCCGCCGCTGCTGCCCGCCGCCCATGGAGCTGTGCCCGGGGCCCGCGCCGCCCTCAGGGTGGGCGCTGCCGCTGCTCCTCGCTCTGGGCGCCGCCGGGCTCAGCCACGGCACCCCGCACCTGCCGTACTCCCGGCCCGGCTCCCGCAGCAAGTGAGTACCGCCCGCCCCGGGGCACCGGCCGGGATGCGGAGCCCGGARTGCCTGACCCGCATTGTCCTTCTCCCCCAGGAACTGGTGCGCCTACATCGTGAACAAGAACGTGAGCTGCTCGGTGCTGGACGGGACGGAGAGCTACGTCCAGGCCCAGTACAAGTGCGCCTGGAACCAGTTCCCCTGCGAGCCCACCCTGGTGTAAGTAGCGCAGGGGGCGACCTGGGCAGGAACAGCGCTCGCCCACCCAGTGCCAAGCCCTGGGGGCTCCCGAAAAGCGCAGGGCTGGGGGCGCGCCCCAAACAAAGCTCATCGCGAACATCGGGCTAATTAGAGCCAGATTGAGCTGMTGCCCTGGCACCTCGTCGGCACGGAGAGGCGTGCGGGCGGGCCGAAAGCACGAGGGCCGCTTTCCACGGGCGGCGGGAGCRCCGGGWGCACCGGGAGCGCACCTTGGCGCTGCTGGGAGCGCACCTGGGCCGGGGCTGCCGGGCACAGCCGCGCTCCAAACCGGTTTTAGGGCTGCTCTGTGCTGCTGGAGCGGCGCGAAAAGGGAGAGCCAGGAACGTGAGCCAGCACCTCTGCAGTCTGCGTATGCCTGACTGTTATCCAGCAAGGGGAGCTGCCAGTGCAGAGGTTTTTACGGGGAGTGATGTAAAGCTGCTTGCTTGATTTTGACCTTCCTGAAAGTGACCATGTGTTAGTCTGTGGAGCGGCCACCTGCGGCACGGTGTGCTGCAGCAGGTACAGCCGCTGATCCATCGGGGAGCAAGATGGATCTCACCTTCCCGCTAATCGCAGGAGAATCCCCTTTCCTCACTTCTCCCCTTGAAAAGCAGCAATATTTACACATTTCTGTTGGAAAGATCTAGGCAATACGTGCTCTGTGAAACCATTTCAGCTCCCCCAGAAGTCACTGGAAAGGCAGACACAGATCTTTGYAGGCTCAGGCTTGGGCTGATGTGCTGATGAGGATTGTTTTACAATAAAGCTACAGKAACTAGTTTTTATTTTGACATGAAACAGTGAGGATGAGACAGATACTGCTAGGTCCTGGGTACTACTGRAATAGAACTTCAGACACCGATGACGCTGCCACCCTGGGGCCCATGACAAGGTGTTGGGTGTTTGGCATTCAAGTGTGCTGCTTTCTGTTTGTTTGGGTTGTTATTTTTGTTAAAAACACAGCTTTTCTCTATATAAACACTAGAATATGAGGGGAAGAAACAAAGACAGCAGAGAGCTGAGTAACACCATCTTGTGTAATTTCCCTTCTTTCTCTTTGGAGTGTTGAACTGGCCATTTTGGACTTCTGACTGAATTTATGGATRTGTAATGGGGTGTGCCCTCTATCCTGAGAAGTCTCCATACTGGAGCTACAGARGCGTGAGGAGGGGTTGAAACGGAGCTCTTTGAACACATAAATCACCAAGTATTAAGATAAGGAATTTCAGAGGCGGTAAATCAGGACTTTCATGGACTAACTGCTAGTAGATAATTAAGAAAGTGCAAAGGCATTGCTTCTAGCTCAGGAAATTCCTGAACTGAAACTGCTTAAGAGTGTGAGGTTGTTGGCAGGAGTAAGAAGGGGAAGCCCAGCTTGAGCTGGGGACTGGACTGCACGACCTCCAGGAGTCCCATCCCTTCCAGATTTCTCTGTGGTTCTGTGAAATGGCATTGTCTGTCCTTGTGCTTCTAAACATCTGGAGTTGGCTGGTGTCAGAGAGAGAATGTGGGCCTGAGCAGTCATTTGGTCTCACCAGCTGTGTCCAGTCTCATGGGGTTTTTTTGTTCTTTTGAAAATGGAATTAGATACTTATTGTAAGGCTTTGTTTTCCTCTATTTGACTTTCTGTGGTGAACATCACTGTTGTTCTCTTCATAACCATCATGGCAACTGCAAAACAATTCCTTGTCTGTAACATAAAATATTCCTTATTCTTACCACTGAGAGAAGGGAGAATATCAAAATCTTGAYATTTTGTTGTTCAAAACTGTGTATAAGTTGCCACATATATATCTTCTCTTAGTGGCAGAGTAGGAAAGGTCCTCACCCAGAAAGTTTGAAATGCATGCATCAAATCCTTCAAGCCCCTAAGTTCAYTCCTGTGAAAAGTATTGTTTAATTCAGAAGGAGTAGTGATCTGAATACTAAAAGGTGTTTATATATGTTCACAAAAATAAGTCAGAAAAGACCTGTAAAACAGCAAAGAAATTACTATGAGGACTTGGTGGAAATTATTCTTTCTTTTTTCTTTTCCCCCTTTATACACTTGCACATGAACTARATGAACTAAATAGCAGATATTCATGGGGATAAAGCACAGTCCCTGTGTAGTCTCCTCTCGATACTCATGGTTTTTCTAAGAGCTCATTCAGCTGCAGACAGTGGGGACAGTGAGATCCAAATCAAACAAAGAGTTCCTTAACTGTATCATGGATGTGTGTGTTTTATTAGCRCTTAAGTACTATTAAGTCTATTTTTTAATCAATCAGTGGATTTACTGTTGGTTTATATTAGTTTAAGACTGGATTTAAAGAGCCTTTCTAGTGTTTAGGTACAGTCCAGGTTATGCATAACAATTACTATGATTGCAGTGTATRTGGGAGCATTTCACTGCCTTAAACTTGCAGGGTACTTCTGAATTCTGAGTGCTCTTTACAGACAAGAGAATGTGTGTTGCAGATATGGGTTATAGTCAGCACTGATTTGCCTTCGATTTTTTTTTTTTTTTTAGAAATAGAAAGCTGTGGTGATTAAGCCTAAAAATCATATGCATGCATGAACCCTTTTCTTCTACCCTTTAGGCCTATTAAAGTGTAATTTGTCTGAAGACAAAACCCCCAAAGTCCCCTGTTGGAATGGCTGCACTTCCAGGAGTGTTAACTGTAAATACWCTTTGGCTGCAGGGCATATTTCCTGAAATGTTAAGTTGAAATTCAGGAAATTATTACACTTCATTGTTTAACTGTTTTATAGGTACTTGGGCTCRATAGTGCATTTCCTTGCTGAAAAGTTGCTGAATGCTTTGGCTGATTAAGGTGTCAAAGATGAATGTGGGTTGAAGTGTGGCCGCTTAAGAGATAGGAAGAGAGAGAGTAGAAAGAAAGAGCAGAAATGCCCTTTGAAGTATGTTCCCTTTGAAKTATGGGGGGCTCCTGATTTATTTTTCTTAAAACTGCAGCTAGCAAAGGAAGGAGGAACTTTGTTATTAGTGGTCATTGGGCCGAAAGGTACAAAAATATTAGTGTTTATACTCACTAAAAGGAAGTTGGATGTGAAATTTAATATTGCTTCATGGATAACTGACCCCTCACTGCTTCTTTTGTGGTGAATTTCCATTCCTAGCTTTCTTATGAATGGTTTGGTAATTTKATTAGCAATTTGTAGCTACTAGCATGATCTGTTTCTGAAAGAAACAACACGTTGTTCTTCTGGTTCGATCCTACACCCTCTTCAGGGTTGTGGCTTATCTGGGACACGCTGTGGTCGCTATAGCAGGGGTGGAATGTTGTCATAGCAGTTGTTTGTTTTGTCTCTGGTTATCCAGAGTGTGTGGGTACACCTGGCTGTGCCAGAGGTGCTCCAGTTTGTGGCCCAGTTCTTTTGGGAAAAGCTGCATTCACCAGTAAGGTTTTGGCTGTAAAGTCTGAAGTGGCTGAAGCAGGGAGATGTTTTCTGGGTTTCTGTCTTTGTTACAGAATTGCAAACAGGGCTTCCCCCATGAAGTAGTAAATTAAATAGAAAAAAATTAAATTGGTAATAACCTCTGGAGCTCACACAATCCCCTCATAGCCCCCAGCTAACGGCACAACCAGCTTCAAAGTTAGATAAGGTTGCTCAGGGACTCGAAGAAAGGATGTTTTATCAGATTCCTAATTCATGTACCAGCCCCCATTAATTATGCTTGTGTAAGTAAAGATATTTGTGTGCTCAGGTCAGGTCATYAGTCTTTAGCTTGTGAGGAATGAATTTCATGATTGAGTGTAAACTTCTCATCTTAACCCTAATGATGCATGTGTACTAGGCAAAACCATTATTTAATTTAGAAAATGACCAAGAAAATGATGAATGAATCAAGAGCTAAATCAGCAAGCATCTCCAGATCTCTCATTGAGCAATATTTTCCAACTTCTTGTCATTTTATACTTTTAAGTGAACATAAATAAGCCCAGTGCCAAACTAAYCATGGTTTTATTCATGGCCCAGAAGACGATTCAAAGCACAAGACTGAAATAACTTTAGAGAATATTACTACAAGTTTTCTGCATTCATAAATATCAGAACAAATTATTACTTGTGAGAAAAGCASAGCTTTTAATCAGCAGTATTCAGCATTTTAAACCAAAATATTAATGAGTAAAAGTGGAAATTATATTACTGAAAACCATCAGATTGGACTTCCAGTTCAATGGCTTCATCCATCTGGTAACTCCAGAACGACCTGGGTGGAGCACATCAGCCCCAGTCTGGGAACACACAGGAAATCCCCTTGTGCTTTTCAACCTTCTCACAGTCCCGATGTGATTTTCTCTGASACTGCTCTGTTGCTGGAAATTAAGCATGCAGATCAGTGTCAGAGTGCTCAGCACCATGCAGGATCAGATCTCAGATGTACAAGTCAGCACAGATTGAGCCGTGTTTGCTGCTGGCCTCCAGCAATTCGTATCTCATAAGAAAAACTTTCAGGAGGCACAAAAACCTGAAGGGAAAGYGAGAGCTGTTTAATGTTTCCCCTCCAAGTATCTATAAAGATCTTCAGGAGTTTCTTTCCAACTTTGTGTATTTTGTATGGAGCAGAATTTCTTTGTACAGGCTCCAGCTAGCTGACTACATAGGGAGGTTAGCCTAGGGGCTTGTGCATTGAAAACAGTGAGGAAACTTAAAAAACTTCAGTCTCCTGGAGTGCTTGTTTGAAAATCTTTGAGATCCTGCTGGGTGTGGTAAGTTTTTCTGGCTGTCTCCCCARGCCTGAAATTGTGCATCTCTGTCTCCACATACTGAATGCAGCAGAGTCTTTCTTCTCTGTGAACTGGACAGGGAATTTTCATTTCACACATCATTTGAGTTTGTTGCAATAATGTAAGAAAAAAAAAGAGAAAAATCCCACACTGCTCCTCACTTTACATTAATGTAAATACTTAGAGTTTCATGCTTTTCTGGTTTGAGAAATGCATGACCTGGAGGTTTGAGGCCTCTTC